GTGTGTGTGTGTGTGTGTGTTTGTGTTTCCTTTTTATTATTATTATTTTCTTTGTCATTGGCTTTTTCCAGGGGTTTTTTTAGATTAACCTCAGTACAGTGCAGTGTTAGATCTGTGCCTGGGACTGTCCCCTTAAGCCTGCAATACATCATTCAGATTATTTACTTAAACAATTGGAGCAAACAGACCTGACAGATAGTGATACAAACCACATTACACAGAGACAGCAGCACAGGGGGATGAAGAGGAGAGATAGAGGGAAGTACAGATAAGTATAAAAGAGGGATGTAGAGAGAGGGAGAGAGTAAGAGAGGGAGAGCCGGAGAGGTGGGCCAGGCTTGGCCTTGGCATGCGGACAGCGTGCTCCGTGAGAGCTATAGAGTACAAGGTCGTTCAAGGTCTCTAGTCATGCTTTATGGGTTACAGTGGGGGTTTCTAATGCGATGAGAAGCCGTTTTGGGACGGAGGGAGGGGTTATCATGCACTTTTGTATAATCTGCTTGCGTATGAATGCAATGTCCTTTGCCAATCACACGTCAGAATGTTCTGTGTTCATATGTGTCCGTGTGCCCCCTCATATGTGTATATGTGTGTTGCTTATGGCCTAGTGTCTGATCCTGCCATGTTAGCTTCCTCTAAACTGCAGCTCTCTCGTGTCTAATTGTATTTGTCACAGTTTGTAGCCATGAATACCTCAGCACTCACCATTACTCCAGTCTATAGAGTGCTTGTTTGATGAGAGAGGAGCTGTATGCCTCCTGGTCTGTGTACAGTAGATCAAGTGTTTGAAAATATTCTCCATCTCTGTGCATCAAGACAAGCTGTCGTTTGAAGGACCCAGACGTTTTGAGAAAGAGACATACAAATGTTTCAAGGAAGAGATTCCAGTTGGCTTTGCTGTGAAGAAGTCCAGTGATATATAAGCGAACATGTGCACATATGTATCCATGATTCCATTCCCTCTACTCCATTTGTGTCTCCTGGCAGGCACGAGATACCAACATGTAAAAATATGTTGCTGCCTGCAGGACTGGATCACACTCCAGAAGCCTCTCAGCATTTTCCCATCATATGATGCCTCAGAAATGCATCAGTGAAAGAGCGTGTGTGTGTGTGTGTGTGTGTGTGTGTGTGTGTGTGT